GTTATATAGTTTTAGGCATGATAAGGAAATGCTACATGTATATTTGTCTGTCTCTAGTTTACAAAATATTACAGGATTTGTCCGAATGAAGCCGTTCATAATCGTCCTTATTGCTGCATGACTGCAGATGCCAACTTACAAATGCCAACAAATTAACTGGAAAACAACCAACATATCAAACAAATAGACAAACACTCCCTTTCATAAGACTCTCCAATAACTCCCTCTAATGATGAACAAAGACAGAGTACCAGTCAATGACTGGTGATGACAGACGCACTCTTATCTTCAGAGAAGGGATCGGGACAGGCCCCACCAATTTCTCCCCGTGATGCTGTGGCTCTTGGCACAGATGAGTGCCATAATTATTGACACAGTCACCTGCTGGAGGGATTCTCTCACCCGGCTGGAAAGGCTTCCTTGATGAGGTGCTCCCGAGAGAGCGGTGACAGTTGCCTAGCAACACCTGCGGCATCCTGGGTGGGCTGAGGGATGGAGGGATGAGCATTACAGTGTATGCAGTCAGGCACAAGGACTTGAAGTGATGGCAAAGTGTGAGGGAGGCAAGAGCCCATGCCGAGATGGCTATGCATATAAATCCACTCAAATGACTGACTTTGTACCCCTAGACTCAATAACGAAAGCGGTCTAGAAGTCACACCAGTCACTTTAGCCTAGTACATGTACAGCTGTATGTCTGATCAAGTTTCACACATCAACTAAACTTTACTACCAGCATCCAAATTACAAGTTTTCACATTCAACAAAGTTACTGGTACACTGTACATGTTCTTTTACATGTAACTACTTAAGGATCAGTCCTTACAGGTATACTGTACTTTAACCCTAGATAATATATTAAGGTAAATGTAAACTGTACCACTTTGTTTGAAAACAACGGGGAATTGAAAAAATAAATAAACAAACTGACAAACAAATTTTGCATAACGCTGATGGCAAACGTTTTTTTTCCCTTGGGTTAGAATACATCATCTGCACTTTCCATTCAATTCAACCAGGCACATGTCCATATCCCTGGGGTGTGAGTGGCCACTTAAAATTGCTGAAAACAGCAAGCAAAAAGCTGAAATGTAAAAAGCTCCCATACTTCTGTACAGACCAGTTGTACAAAAAAGCTGGAATTCAGGGTCGACATCTACATACAAAAAAAGCTAAAAAGCTGAATTCTCACACCCCTGATCTATGCGGTAGCTATTCAGTTCCAACAGGGAGATTACCAATAACTTAATTGCATGTTGAAGTTCCACTGTAAGCACACGCGTGGGAGTGGTGACGGATGCACGTTGTGCGTCTGCAGTTCATCTTATGAAACTCAATACATGACACTGCAGGTCATAGAGACGGACTTTGATGAAATGATTTAACTTTCTGACGTCAGAGTACTTGAAAGAAAATAATACACAGAAAAATCGACTGTGCACAAAGGAACTACAATCTTCGGGTAATTCTCAGTCCCACAGGAAATTAAGGAACATGTACATGTAATAAAGGCACCGATCAATTGGGAATCTGCCAGAGAGAGAATCACTACATGTATCTATAAAACATGTCACAATGCTCTGCAGAGAATAGCTTCAATCTACATGTACATTGCAAATTGCATTTTTTTTTCAAGGTTTGAAGGATGAAGTCAACATCTTTCAAGTGCTTCTGCTCCAAAAATTCCGAGAGCTTTGCCGGGTACGTACTTCAACCTAAATGTGCCCGCTCTGGTTTATTTCAGTTAGCACTGAAACATGACCGTGATAAATGCATAGTGTTGGCCTTTATAAATATACCAAGGGGCAATAATTCTAAATGTGTTTACAGAAAACGAGGCCAACAATTTTTATTGCATCGGCCCTATAACTCGTCTACATGTGGACTGAATTTTTTAATCCCAATTCCCTAATGACTCACATCTTAACAACTGCTACAGTGCTGTTTTAAATATGCCGTCAGCCTCTTTAAAAAAACTTGTCCACAGATATCTGAAATCAAAAATTTGTGCCTGATAAACTATAATGCTAGGGGGGAGGGGCATAAGGAGGCCCCCCCCAAAAAAGGAAAAACAGGACAAAAGTGAAAGAAGGATTTCTTCAAAAGCCATATAAATTGACCCCTTTCCACTAAATATAACGGTTATTGCTTGTGAGTGCTTTGCCCTTCTCCCTGGAAATGCCCCAGGTAGAAAAACTGCTCAGCCGGAGAGTTTCCAACTACAACACTATTTTT